GCCTGAAGAAGGAAGAAAGCAAAAAATTGGTTGTCGTGGATGGTCCCATAATGTTCATCCTGCACAAGAAAAAAGGGTGGATGAAGTCAAGCGCTGAATGTCTGATCCCAGAGCCTGGACCTTTGTCGAGCTTCCCCGCGAGTCTGACATCCCAGCTGCAACTGCTGCCCGAGTTATGTCCGATAAACTGAGGATGGTCAAGAGGGTGTGCGCATGGGTACCTAATTTTCTTGTGAAGCACGAACGCAGTACCTATTCTGTACCTCTAGCAGTAATGTTCTCAGCATGAGATGTCATTCACGACTGTGAAAACGCACCCCGGCCTAGATGAAATATGGGTGGTCTTGGACCTCGAGCCAAAACTCACAATCGTCAATTTTGTATGAATGCAGATGAGAAGCCGCCCGAGTTCTACCATGAGGAGTTACGTGGGCGCAAGTGGATGATCATCATAGCAAAGGATTCCTACACTGTGGCTTTCAGGCGGCTCTATACAGAAAATAAAATCGTAGCTGTCGGTGTATATTGCCTCGGCAATCAGATCGACAAATGGATGATACCACACAACTACAAGAAGGCCACCGTTGCTCGTCATAGTGCCAGACCCGAGTAACTGTATTGTAGGGCAGTGCTGGGACACAAACAATACTGAGACCTGGGTTCAATCGCCCCATTCGCCCATTATAAAGCCGAGCGATTCCAATTGTTCTCGTCAGTCGAGAGTACTCTCCGACGGCAAACGCTACAATGTTTTGTCATTCGCCGAAATTGGCATCAACAGCAATTTACTCGCACTTGTTGAAAAATCGAAGGTACCAGAGGTCCAAAGGCGCTTTCGGGGCACTGGGAGCGGGTCATTGGTGAAGGAGGGATTTACTTAACTTGGAGCCAAAATATTACTTTTTATCTATTCTCCTCTTTGTTTTATTCGAAAAAACCGACGGCACTTTTGAATGGGATGACCTAATATGTGCAGAAGTTGCATAGTTTTTACTAATTTTGGGCTACCTGCTGCTATTCTTTCTCAGTGCCTTTACTGAAGCAAAATATGAACCTCTCACGTGTCCTTCTAAAGCGCTTATCAAATGAGATCGAAATAAAACCATAGCAAAATCGAGTATCAACTTCAGAATGTTTTATAGGAGAGCAGTACTAAGGATCCGTTGCTTTTTGTTACAGGCACAAGGTTTGAAACGAATTCTGACGACTTATGAAAAGGTTCTTAATCAACCTGAAGATCAGTTTATCTATCTGATGTGGCACCGCCATCCGACGAAACCGTAAGTGGTCTAGGCGAACCATCGTGGGTTCCGTTTCACTTTCTCGTACTGTGTACTGTTTCAGATCTACGAGTATTGTGATTGGTATGCTGAAAGTCGGCCAAAAACACCTCTACCTTTTTGACGCTTCCCAGCAAAGGCGATACGAGGAAAAACCGCTATGTATTCTCGACTTTTACATTCACGATTTAGTCCAGCGTAAAGGGAATGGACATCAGCTTTTCGATCACATGCTAAGGGTGCGTTCCACTTACAGTGATGATGCTTTTAGTACTGATTTTTTTTATTACTGATCTCATAACGAAGCCGTCAATAAAGTTACCACAGCAATGCTAAGTTGTGGGAAAGCGCTTGATCCCCACGCGTACTTGAACCAGGACCTCACAAGCGAGAAACCAGCAGTTGTGGGCGGTAGCGAGGCAGCCTCAGGCACAAAAGCCCTAGAAACTGGATCGCGATGCTAAGCAGTAGTGGCGCGTTCAGGGCACATCTTCGATTGGATTCCCCAGTGGGGGGGGGTCGCTTGATTTTATTATTTGTTATTTTATTACGCATTATTATTTATTTTGTTTTATTTTTTTGATTTTTGTCGCTTGATATAGTTGATTTTTCTCGTCTCACAGACGTCAGAAGGGTGGGGTATTTGGCTTCTGAGAGGAATTCGCGGCGTTTGGAGAAATTTTTCTCGATTGATCACTTTTGGTGCTTTTTCCTGCTCCACATGTGCTATATT